GAGACTGAAGAGCGCAAGGCACTCTATCAACAGAGGCTTGTGGTGCTTCGACAGGTGATGCAGTCTTGTCGAAGTGGCGGCCCTGAGACACGTTTTGCTGCCAGTCAGATGACAAGGTCAATGCAAGATTTGTCTGATGACGAGGAGTCGCCATTGCATCAGATGAGCTACATCCAAGTGGTGAATGAGATGGATGCAGCAGAACAGGCCTTTCACATTGGATCTGCCATAGCAGATACTGTCAGCGCAGGTTCCAGCAATGATCATGTGGGTGAAAGCAGACATGTGGATGCAGTTGCAACCAACCTGATGCGCATGCTTGATGAAGATGATGAAAATCAAGAAGAGGAAAGCGATTCAGATGATTGGATGGAAACAGAAAGCCACCGTCGCCAACGCTACCTCAACAGTGAGTTGTGCGAGTGTAGTGATCCAGATGAATGGATGGCATATCACCACGGTTCAGACTCTGATGGATCGTGAAGTGGGCGCCACCATTTGAATTTAGGGTAGAATCTTGATGATCACAGCCCTTTTGAAACCAGTCTCAAAGAGACTTTGCAAGTATGGCACAGCAAAGATCTGCCCCAGCGGCTTTCGAATCGGCTGTGCAAAGGCTTGAAATCATTTTAGCGTCTGCTACCAAGTTAAAACTGGTAGCAAGGCGGGGTGCAAGTCATTTACGTTTAGGTAGATCTACTGTTTAGCTGAAGCTTTGCACTCCATGTCACATAGATGATCAGTGTAGTATCTGTTCTTATCCGAAGGCGCTTTGTGATTCAAGGAAAAGAAGCATTTTCAAATATTGCCGACAAACCTTCCAGAGGAGATACAAAGGATTTACTTGACAGCGGTTTTTCAGATGATTCTGCTTTGGCTTTCCAAAAGCTTGTGTAACTGATGACATTCACGAAGAAGAAACTGGGGAGACGAGCTGGATGCATCGTTGCAACCCCCAGTTGAAAAAGTGTGAGCGCCAGCTTTGTCTTCAGCCGTGAGTGTCGAGCAGAAATAAATATAGGTCACGTGTGACACTTTCTTATTTTTGCAGTGAAGTGCATGTAAGCAGCTTCAAACGAACGCATTTCCTTCTCAAGTGGTGGGAGCGCGGGACTCCCATTTCGTTGTGTTGCTTCGATTTGCCCACCACCGTCCCCTACTACCACCATCACTTGATTAGGGTTGGCCACCCCCTCAGCCAGACGAGCTGAATGCATCGTTGCAACCCCCAGTTGAAAAAGTGTGAGCGCCAGCCTTGTCTTCAGCCGTGAGTGTCGAGCAGAAATAAATGCGCCATTTTCTCTGATTGTGATGATTCGATTTTGATTCCCCCGAACCAAAACCTTGATTGACGAATGCAAATGGGATGAGAGCGGGAAACACACTTTGTTTTTGAATTAGCGACCATGAAAACTTTGTTGAATTTAAAAATAAATGTGTTGCAAATGCACACATCTTAAACAGAGGGAAGGCAACGGCGAAATCAAAACCAACATGTTTTGTATCGTTTTAGAACAGCTGTGGGCGCGCAACCGCTTGATCCTGAGCATGTATTGTGAATATGTTTTTTCTCGTCGCACAAAAACTAAAATTCAGTTGGGTTCTCAACAGTGAACACGTATGACGAACACAATATTTGGTTGAATTTTGGTTTTGTCTATTGCGACCGGTTTTTCCAACCGTTTTAAGTAAGAAACGCCGGTAAATGAACACGCCACAGTTTGACAACCCTGCATGTTATTTTATGTTTTTTTTTTGCTGCAGCTTTGGCAACAACACATATTGACCGGACGCCGGGGTAAAGGGTGGTTGCAGCTGCACCGGAAGGGTTGCTGCAACCTCAGGTTTCGTTTCTGATTGCATGAATGTGATGTCAACATGTTCGGACCCATGTTTGTTTGGCAATACATGTGATTTTATTTACGAAATTCAGCGTCTTGATAATATGTTGATTGAAATTGTACCGTCACATGTTCAGTCATCAGGTCTTGTGGCATTTTTGGATTACAAAATCAATTTTGTTGTCTGAAACATCGTGTTTGCAAACCAATTTTCATTGGATAATTATCATTGTTTTGGTTCGGTCAGTGGTCATGTTCATAGTCATCACTTACCACCACAATCACCACCACCGCCACCATCACCACATCCACCACCCATCCGTATCGTCGTTGCGGTGGTCATCGTCATCGTCACCATCATCGTGATCACTTTGTGTTTACAGCAATCCCCAACTAGATTGAACAATTAGACACTTGGAAATGATGGGGGAATCATCATCGAACTGATTTCATGGAAAAACATCCGCATTTTTGTGACCCCTGGGACCCCTATATCCTTGAAAACATCAACAACATCAGATCTATGCGAACGGCAACGAAAAAAGGGCCTGCCTGAGGTGCCTTGCCTCGGTGCAGTTGGATCTGTGCGGAAACTGAGGAGATCAATCGGAGGAAATGTTGGATCCCCAAAGTTACGGTAATAAAACAAAATATATCATGAGTATATATGATTATGATATATTAATATTATTATGATAATAACTATATAATAATTAATAATAATAGTAATATTGATTACAAATATATATATAAATATGTATGCATGTATGTATGTCATGTAATGTAATGTAATGCAATGCAATGCAATGCAATGGAATGTAATGTAATGTAATGTAGTGTAATGTAATGTACTGTAATGCAATGTAATGTAATGTAATGTAATGTAATGTATGTATGTATTCACAATGATAATAACAATAAAAATAAGAACAATAATACTACAAATAATAACAATAACAGTAATGATGATGATATTTACAATAATGATAAAAATAAACATTGTAACATTGATATGTAATGATATAATAATTGGGTCAAACACACATTCACGAATAAAATCAAAAAAACACTCCTGAGGCAACTCTTGTGACCAGATTGTTTTTTTCTTGCAATTTCAGTCTGTGCCTGTCTCAGCCTGCTTGCGTCACAAAATGTGGATGTTTGCAAACGTGCTTGCATTATGAATCAGTTTCCCTGCATAACAACCCATGACTGTCTGAGGTGGAAACGAATCAAGTACCAACAAAAATTCAGACCATGATTTTCGTTTTGCATCTTACCAAGATGTGATCTTAGATCTTAAAATTTAAAATCTATGTTTTATACAAAATCATCAAAATCTGAATCCAAGGATCCAAATGCATACATATTTGACAACAATAAAAAACAATAAGAATAACAACAGAAGGGATACATGTATATACATATATATATATATACACACACGTATCTGTAGGTTGTGTGTCCTCTACCTCCCTGTCCCTGTCCCTCTCCCTCTCCTTCTTTTCTCTTTCTGTTTTTTTTCCCTCTCTCTCTCTCTCTCTCCCTGTCCATTCTTTTGTTTGACACTGAAGGGACCATGGGTGTGATCCACTTTTTTACATATACTGAGAGGTACAAACCTGCTGTCCTTTTCCAAAGATGGCCTGTGTCTAAAGGCCATTTTGCTGTGCATCCTCATGAATCCGCAAGATCAGGCGCAGGTGGCAAAGAATTGCTGCATTTGTTCATGATGAGTGCTCAACAAACATATTCCGTACGCTCGGTAGATTTTCAATTTTCGAAACTTGGAAACACAAACATGAGACCACCACGGATGTGTGGGGAAATGTGTGGAGGCTGGCTATGCACCTGAATGCTTCCTTCACTGTACACCTGATGACAACACAGCTGGCTACACGTGGGGAACACTCTAATGGCAGAAAGACTTTGGCCCTTGATTTCTGATTGGAGCCTGGATGTGTTGGAGCCAGGCCAACCCTTACAACTACCAGCAATGGGCCGGTGCCAGGGGCTCAGGAGTCACAGGTGATCAGTTCCAAAGTGCTGAGAATGGCTGAGACTTTTAGTTTTGTCATTTGTCCTCGCAAACACAGGCGCACCAGCCACTGGTGAACGAACACTGATAAATGATGTTAAATGTGATCGTACATGATGTTAAATGTGATTGTAAATTGCATCTGTGATTGCAAATGAATGATGATACATGATGATACAGAATGATACATGATGATACATGATGATCAATGGTGATCGATGATTGTCAACGACGACCCATGGACCAGGCAATGCAAAATATGCAAAACATGCAGGAGGTGCGAATTTGCAAACGGATTCTGATTGCTGAAAGGTTTGGGCATGAAGATCTGTTGTGATGGTGCACTGAAACGAGTATTTGTTTTGAAAGTCAAGTTGACGGAGTGGTGACTTCAAATGAAAAAAGGTAATCATGAAGCATCAATCTTTGAATGTTCATGCCATGCTTCTTTCTCAAATCACAAAGGATTCCATTCTCTGAATCAGCCTGATGGCATCTCCGAAAGCCACTGAGCTTCCTCACACAAGAGTGTGGAATCGTTCACTGATAAACAAACGTATTCCCGTGTGGGTTCTTCAATTAAGTGACAAAGCCTTTAATTTGAGGTCTGAAAATGGGGTATACACCCCAAACAACCATTTTGACAGGGAGAATGGTGACCCAATGACTCCAATGACCCACTGAATTTGGGGGTACTACAGCTGCCTGCTACAGCGCCAGGCCATGCCAGGCCAAGGCATGGGCTACGGCGGAATGTCTGGCTCCCGGGGGAAGTGCATGGTATGTCATGGTATAGCATAGCAAAATGGACACATGGACCTTGGACCCGAGCATTTACTGTAAAAGGAAAGTTGAGCACTAGACTCACTAGACATCTCAAATTTGGAAGATTTTGGAAGAACTTCTCAAAGCCTCAGCAAACTACGGCAGTTGCAAGAGTCAAACCATTCTTCAAACACCAGGGTTGAGATGACCCTGAAAAACTCCCATCAAGATCATTTTGTTGGGATATGGCACAGTGATTAGAATACCGGAACTGCGGATGGCACCATTTGTGGTCTTTTGCTGCAGCCGTTTCTTCAATTGGGCCCCGGAATTTTGAAAGCTTCGCTGGTGACGCAATGTCCAGCACTGCCCCGTCGAAACGCGGTCCCCTGATCCCAGTTTTCCATCATTTCCTGCGGTTTCTCAAAGTTATTGGCTTCAGCTTCCATTCTTTTGAGGATCATTGAAACATGGATGTCCGTCTCTCACTGTTTCAACTAGTAACTAGTCGGTGCATTGCAATCGCCTCCCCCCAATAAATATATATATATATAATATAAATATTTACACCCCGCAGAAAACTGGGTTGTCTCTGAACAGAAAACTTGGTTGTCTCTTGGATCATATTGGATCTATTCATGAATTGAATATTCAGGGGGATAGCACTACCACTTCTTTTTCTGATATCGAAGCAGCCCGACTGCCCAAGGTCTTCTTGTGGCTGGCCTCACCACTGCAGTGGCGGCACCCCTTTTCGTGACACCCAGCACTGGTGCAGGTCACTGATCCATGTGTGGCTTGAGGTGAGGCATTTTGGTGTAGTCTGGTCTGTACCCCTCAAATTAACTTTCCAGTGGCTAGGAGGGAGCTAAGGAGCTATGGGTATTCATATTCCCTATTAAATGGGGAGCTAAGGAGCTACCAAGAGTTTCCCAACCACATACTATAGTTAATGAAAGGTGCTATATCATGATATTCCACGATTCTCCATCGCAAAGTCCTGAAAACATTTTTCCAACAGCAGATTTCCGTCGAACTTTTCCGCTTTCGACGCAGCCTGGCAGGTGCCTCTGCCCCGGTCCGCAGCCATGCTGCAGCTGCTGCAGCACAGCCAGTGGCATCCAGTAGCACCTCCAGCGGCGTTTCTGCTGTGGCACTGACGATGTTGGGAGCCTCTGCAATGGCTGGAGCTCGCCGTAAGAACCAGGTGAAGGTGTACCACCTGGATGTTGGGGGGTTCCAAGTGGGTTCCGAGTGGGTTCCACCAGTTTCACCGTGTTTTGGGTACTGCGACACCACTGAGAAGTTCATGAACAAACCGTTCCAACCTTTATATACATATAATATAATATAATATAATATAAAATCATATAATATAATACAGTATAATATAATACAGTATAATATAAAATCATATAATATAATACACTATAATATAATATAGTATAATATAAAATCATATAATATAATACACTATAACATAATATAGTATAATATAGAATCATATAATATAATACACTATAATATAATATAGTATAATATAAAATCATATAATATAATACACTATAACATAATATAGTGTAATATAGAATCATATAATATAATACGCTATAATATAATATAGTATAGTGTAATATGGTATAATATGGTATAGTATAGTATAGTATCGTATAGTATAGTATAATACAGTATAGTATAGTACAGTATAGTATAGTATAGTATAATATAGTTTAGTATAGTATAGTATAATATAGTGTAGTATAGTATAGTACAGTACAGTATAGTATAGTATAGTACAGTATAGTATAGTATAGTACAGTATAGTATAGTATAGTATAATATAGTATAGTATAGTATAATATAGTATAGTACAGTATAGTATAGTATAGTATAATATAGTATAGTATAATATAGTATAGTATAGTATACTATAGTATAGTATAGTATAGTATAGTATGGTATAATATAGTATAGTATAGTATAATATAGTATAGTAAAGTATAGTATAGTATAATATAGTATAGTATAGTATAATATAGTATAGTATAGTATAATATAGTATAGTATAGTATAGTAAAATATAGTATAGTATAGTATAGTATAATATAGTATAGTATAATATAGTATAGTATAATATAATATAGTATAGTATAATATAGTATAGTATAGTATAATATAGTATAGTATAATATAGTATAGTATAGTATAATATAGTATAGTATAGTATAATATAGTATAGTATAGTACAGTATAGTATAATATAGTATAGTATAGTATAGTATAATATAGTATAGTATAATATAGTATAGTATAGTATAATATAGTATAGTATAGTATAATATAGTATAGTATAATATAGTATAGTATAGTATAATATAGTATAGTATAGTATAGTATAATATAGTATAGTATAGTATAGTATAATATAGTATAGTATAGTATAATATAGTATAGTATAGTATAATATAGTATAGTATAGTATAGTATAATATAGTATAGTATAGTATAATATAGTATAGTAATTATTTTATATTTAATATATTATATTATAATATATAATATAATATAATATAATATAATAATAATAATATAATATAATATAATATAATATAATAATATAATATAATAATATAATATAATATAATATAATATAATATAATATATAATAATATAATATAATATAATATAATATAACATAATATAATATAATATAATAATAATATAATATAATAATATAATATAATATAATATAACATAATATAATATAATATAATATAATATAAGATAATATAATATATAGTGTGCTAGAATCTCGGAAGGAAATGATCTCCGCAGGGAGCTGGTCCTTTGGCAGGTGGTCAGACAGGCCTCCGAGACTTTCCAGCAGCAGGCCATGGAGTTTCCAGCAGCATATGAAGACATCGCAGAGGTCAACAACAAGGCACCGCCCCGAAGCGGGGGGGAAGACATGGAGGAACCCCCTCCCTGCAGTTGTTGATCAAACTACCTACTTATCATTGAATATTTTCTTAAAACATATTGATTAGTTTAACATTAGTAAGCATATGATTATCCACGTAATATCATATCATGTATATAAATATAAATCACTTTATGTCTATAATATATACACACAATATCGTTCCATGAGGGTTTCTCCGAGTGTGCCTCGGCAGCATTCGAACGTTCTCGGCAAGGAGAAGAAGGCAGACATCATCTGCACCATTGGACCGAAATCCTGGGATCCGGAGGCCAGAACTGTCACAGCCATGGCAGCCATGGCTCAAGATGAACTGGTTGGTAGGCCATGCTCAAGCGATGCCAATAGAATATCCCAAAATGTTTGTTCAACTTTATAGCCATTGTTGGTTAAATCTCCGCTCATTGCTGGTTCAATTTTCATCTGCTGTTGGTTGATATCCCGTGGATCGCATTTTTTGGTGGCTATCTCATTCGTGAATGTTCAAGTAACCCCATTTATTCCATTTATACTTGCTGGTTATATATCCCATTACTTCTATAATGTTAGATCTCCATGGAATCCCTCTGTTTGCTGCTTGTATCAAATTTTCCCTAGTAGATGCCCAGTACCTACACTGCCGGGTCATATTTTTTTCCATCTGCCAGCACTAGGTCCTGGTGAAGCTGATGAAGGCTGGCATGAACGTCATTCGATGCAACATGTCCCATGGCGACCATGAGGACCGGTGGCCAATTGCAGCTGGGTCTGCCATGGTGGCGGTGGCTTGGGCCATGGCAGGAGCAGAGCATGAAGCTGGCCAATTTGGAGAAGGCCTATGAGTTGGCTCCCGAGTTCAAGGGCAAGATGAAGGCTATGCCGGATGTAGCTGGATGCTGGTTGGATGTGATGTTTGGGTGACATGAAATGACAAAGATGGACTGAACAGGGAAAGTTTGGATCAGTAGAATTGGTGAATTGGTCAGTGTCCAAGATAGACAAATCAGTTTGTTCTCTGGTTATACTTCGTTTGGCCCGTGGCAGATTCTGATGGATACCCGTGGACCAGAGATTCGCACTGGAACCTTCGAGGCACGCACCAAGCTGGCATGATGTGAACATTAATTTTGTTCATTGGACTACAGTATATGTGTGCGTATGTATATATATATATATATATTTGTATATAATGTATGATATACTGTGAAATCATTGCAACCTTTGACCGAAGCATGCAGTTTCATATGAAAGCAGGTGCCCGTACAGAGCCTTTTAGGCTTCAAACGACAGCCCTAGGTGGGCCTCGCATCCTGGCGAAATAGGCGTTTGATGCCTCTGCTACCACTGAGAGAATTCTCAGTGGTAGCGGAGCCATGAGTTCCGATCCACCCGTTGCTGCTGGCAATGTCTTCGGTCGAGAGCCGAACCCTCCGATATGGGATGGAAGTGACCCAGGGATCAATTATCCCATCTATGTGAAGAATGTCAAGCTGTGGCAGTATGAGACGGAGTTAGCTGAGGCGAAACAAGGAGTTAGGCTTTTGAGAGGCCTTACAGGAACAGCACGAGCAGTTTGCGATGGTTTGGAGTTCGAGCAAATTGCCACCACCAAAGGAGTTGAGAACATCCTGGCGAGGTTGAAAGAGCACTTCTCGCCACACCTTGAGGTTTCGCTCCCTCGGGCATTTGAGAGGGCGATTTATGGTGCACCTCGCAGCCACAAAGAAGATCTTCAAGACTATTTGATCAGGATGGAGCGTGCGTTCTTCATGCTGTCCAAGGAGGGTGTTGACTTGCCGGACCAGGCTGTTGGATATGTGATTTTCCGACAGGCCTCACTGTCGGAGAGTCAGGAGTTGCGCTTTGGAGCATGGGCCCAGGGAAAATACGACAAGAACACGGTCATAGCCAACCTGCGCAAGCTTGACAAAGTGGTAGCTGATAGCAAGCCAGGTAAAAGCTCAGTGGCTTACCTTCATGATGGAGAAGTGTCGCAAGACGAACCTGGCGACGGAGATGAAGGTTTTGAAGAGGATGACTTTGAAGAGAGCTATGTGTACCTCACTGATGGGGATTTGGGGCGTGTGTTCGAAGAACCAGAGCTCCAGCTGATCCTTGCCACGTACCAGGAGGTGAAACGTGCCATTCAAAGTCAGCAGAAGGGTCGCCAGTTCTCAAAGGGAAAAGGAAAGGCGCGAGGCTCACCTTGGAAAGAGTACACCAAGGACAAACGCCGAGTGCATATCGAGCAGCTGAAGCTGAGGACCAGATGCGCCAGATGCGGCGCTGTGGGCCATTGGGCCAAGGAGTGCAAAGCTGGTGATGATCGTGCGCGAGCTTCCAACCCGGCGAGTTCCACGAAGAGCGTTGCGCAGAGCTCTTCAGCCAGTGGAGGTCAGAGCTGGTATGTGTCTTCAGATGCCGGAAGCTTGCAAAGTCTTTGTAGCGTTTGTTTTGGTTTTGAGTGTGGGGGTTATCACATTCAGGATAACAATTCAAAGTTTTTGGAGAGCATGTCACTCAATGACTGTGTTGAGGATGAGCTTTCCCCGGGTGAACGTTTGAGGGGAAATTCAAATGTTTTTGTAGGGTCAAATTTGACCACAAGTGCTGGATGCTGCTGCCTTTTCATTGGCCTCACTACATGTCCATCCATGGCCATTGTAGATACAGCGGCGCAAGACGGACTGGTAGGTGAGATGGCATTGCAAAGACTAAAAGGGCAGCTTGAGCAGCGTGGCCTTCAGATTGTGCACACAAACAAACATGCCAAAGCTCATGGGGTTGGAGGTCAGGCTCAGGTTGTTGGAATAGCTGCAGTGCCATTAGGAATTGCCGGCACTACTGGGATTTTGGAAGTCACCGTTGTCAAGGGCGACGTACCATTGCTTTTGCCCATCAAAATGCTCAGAGATCTCAAAGCTGTGGTTGATTTGGAACAGAGTCAGTTGCACTTCAAGAAACTTGGAAAGTCAGTTGAGTTGCACACCATGCCCAGCGGTCATGTTGCAATTGATGTTCTCCAATTTGGACCTGATGGTTTTGTTTTTCCTCATGAAGCAGCTGATGCAGCGTTTCGAGAAAGCGACTTCCGATTGACTTCTGGCTCAGGTGACGGTTGTGCCATGCTGACGCAGAGTTTTCAGCAAAAGCTCTCCCCTGTTGCGAACCATGTCGGATCGATTGGCGCTTTTTCGACATGCCTTCAATCGCCCGGCCGGCGATTGGGATATGGTGAGCGCAGGTGGGGAGAGCAGAAAACACAATGCCAAAAGAGCCCTAGCACACTGGAGAGAGGTCATGGACAAGGTGATCAGTGTGCAGATGCTGGTTGGTTTGGAGGAATCGGTGCACTCTTGGCTTCCACAAGCACCGACCTCAACTCAGCCGTCTCCCATGTCATCAGAGCAATTAGCAGAGGCCATCACCACCGCAGAGCCTCTCGCTCCCATGAAGACGAAGACTGCCCCGGCCATCGAGCACAGCATGTGTCCACACAAGCCGACGAGGTTGGCAGTTTCCCACAACCAATACTCGGCTTGGATAGTGTGCTGGGATTGTCATTCCCGGTGGAAGATCTCCAAGGAGTTGGTGCCAGTCACAACGAAACGCAAGCCGCAGCTGAAGGAGGAGATGAGGGGTGCAGGAGCGAGTTCAGCAGCAGACAGGTACGAGGAGGAGATCAAACAGAAGATGGCATACGAGCTGAGGAGCGAGTATGCAGCAGCCATGCAACAGCTCACCATGCAGCAGCAGCAGGAGCAACAGCAGATGAGGGCAGTGCACCATCAGGAGGTGAGCGAAATGAGGATGCTTCGAGCGGACTTGATGCAAAAGTCCCAAGATGCCACGGTGCTGGAAGTGATGATGAACGAATATGCGGAGATGGCTCTGGGGAAGAGAGAGTTCCTGGAGAACAGAGGATACCACACAGCAGAGATGTATGCCTGGGCAGAGAAGGTTGCAGCAACACAGAAGGAGACCAAGCAGGAGATGCACCTGCTGGAAGAATTGCAGGAACAATGCGCAGAGCTGAAACACACGAGCACCAAGGTGAAGAAGGAGTCCAAGAACAGAGCAAGCCCGTCTCCGACCCGCAGTGCAAAGGCGAGTTCGGCCTCGCAGCCCAGGAGACTTGGGTGATGGTGCAAGCAGAAGATCTCACCAAAGAGGTGAGAGCGCTTCAAGGAGGTGGGCAATATGAGGTCAAAGAAGTTTTTGTGCAGCAAGAAGAAGGATTCTTCAAAATCTCTGATTTAGAAGATTTAGCAGTTGAGGAGGCTGCTCTAGTTCGGATCCAACAGAGCGCAAAGGGCGTCATGGAGGAGTGGACCGAAGATATCAGAGAGACCTCATTGCCTAAAGGCCTCAAAACGAAGCTGAGGAGGGCAACGTCAAAGGTTGAGCAAGAGAACCAGACGTTTGCCGTTGATGTCGCCGAGGTATACAGCCAGCCTCGAGTGACAAAAGAAGCCCAACGACAAGGCATGTCAGTTGGAGGAGCTTATGACTTGCTGACAGGATATAACTTGCGGGATACCAAAGACTATCACCGCATGTGGCAAGAGCTCCAAGGAGATGACCCAGAGCTGACGGTGTGTAGCCCACCATGTACGGCATTTACGCCGTTACAGAATTGGAATTTTCCCCGCATGGACTATGACAAGGTGGTTGCCTTGGTGGGAGATGGGTTGCACCATATCTCTACGTCCTGCGAAGTTGCTGAATGGCAAGACGACAGAGGCAAGTTGTTTCTGATGGAACAACCAAAACCGTCAAAAGCCTGGGAGGAACCAAGGATGGTTGCCCTTAGGGAGAGGCCCGGGGTATATACATGTGTGGCGGACCAGTGCGCATACGGCATGTGCGTGAAAGACTGGCCAAACAAGAAGACCACACAATGGGTGACTAACTCCAAACACATAGCACATGAGCTGATGAGAAGGTGCTCAGGAGACCACCCACATGAAGCACTGACAGGAGGCTTAGCCAAGAAGGCTGCAGTATACCCACCACAGCTCTGCCGAGCCATCGTACGAGGGCTCAAGCAACACATGCGAAGCAAGCAGCAACAGCCAGCTCAGGTGAGAGAGCCTGCACAAACAATAGCATTTCCCGTCGCCGAAATACCCGGCGAGGAAGGAGAGCTTGAAGAGGCCTTGGATCGAGAAGTTCAGCACAGCCACCGATCAAGGTTACACAGCATACAAGCAAAGGCAGCAATCACAGCAGCAGTCACCGACGAAGACAAGGCAAAGGTGACAAAGATGCACAACAATCTGGGGCATCCAGAGCTCAGAAGTTTTGTAAGGTTCCTGAGAGCCGGAAGGGTAAGAGAAGAGGTGGTCCAATGGGTCGCAAAGAAGTTTCATTGCGATGAATGTGAAACGAAAGCAGTCCCAAAGGCGCCTCGACCAGCAGTGATCCCCAAGTGCTACAAGCCAGGAGTTGCCGTTGGGTTGGATCTGTTCTACATCCAGAACCACATGAGGCAGAAGTCAATTCCCGTTCTCAACATGGTGGATATGGGAACAAACTATCAGATGATTGAGATGCTGGAAGACAAAGCCCCCGACACAGTTTGGAAGGCGTTTTGGAGGACGTGGGGCAGAACCTTCGGCATGCCGTTGTATATGGCAATGGATGAAGGCTTGGAGTTCAGAGGGGAGTTGGCAAAGTGGTGTGCCGATTTTGGGTGCATTGTCTTCAAAGCAGCAGGGCGCTCACCGTGGCAGCAAGGCCGCGTGGAGCGACATGGTGGCCTGGTCAAAGAGATGATTCAACATGCCAGATCGAGTGCGGCCATCAGCTCACCTCAGGAGTTGCAGCAACTCTTGTATGAATGTGAGTGCGCAAAGAACCGCTACATGAACAGGTCAGGTTACAGTCCAGTGCAGAGGCAGATAGGGCAGTGGCCGAGAGTGCCAGGCTCACTCATGAGCGACGAGATGATCGACCCAGCACTTCAGATGCAGGACACCTCGGATGAGTTCGATCGCTCGTTAGAGTTGAGGCAGCTGGCGCAAGAAGCCTTTGTGAAGTTGTCCAGCAAGGACGCGGCCATGAAAGCTCTGAGAGCACGTGCACGACCACAAAGAGTTTTCAAACCGGGAGACGTTGTCTATGTTTACAGGGTCTTGAGAAAGAAGAAGAGCGTCAGAGGCACAGATGTTTCGACAGTGCCCAAGCCCAGCAAGAAGGCAGCTTGGATAGGCCCTGGACACGTGTTGGCTCTTGAAGGCTCAGTGGTTTGGATCAACATGTTCGGAGAGCTTTGGCGTGCCTCTGTAGAACAGACCAGAGAAGCCACAACCCTAGAGAAGATGGGCGCAGAAGTGATAGCAGAGAGCTTCGGGGAAATGCAAGAGAGGCTGAAGAGAAGCGCCAACAGACCAGGTTACAGAGACGTCACCATTGAGACAGAGGAGATTCCTGACTTGGATCAAAGCGGCGACGAAGTAGAAGAGGAAGGAAGAATCAGAGGACAGCCGCGAGTCAGGTTCTCGCTTGACGACGAAGTGTCAGGCCCAGTCCAAGAAGTCCGTCAGCAAGAGACCGAAGGCCCAGATGAGATGGTTGATGGTGTCTTCAATGATGAAGATGATGAGGACCCCATTCCGATTCAGGAGATGAGGAGAGCTTCCAATGCCACTGTGCCAGAACCAGACGCAGAAGAAGGCAACAACCAGCCCACGATAGCAGAACAGCAGCAAGCAACTTGGAGAGAGGCACAGAGACTGGCACAACAGGCAGTAACAAGCTCAGTAGCAGCAAACCAGGTTCTTGACGGCGTCCCCAGAGATTACAGCTCACTTAGAAGGCAAACAGAACGAAGATGGGCGCGAAGACATGATGCGCCATACTTTGCAGAATTCTTCCTGCAAGAAGGAGAAGAGCAAGCAAGTCCTGAGGAGCCTAAACAGGACTATTGGGTGTTCGACAGTCACACAAACACCCTGCAACGACACCATGTCCACTGGCGCAAGGGCCTGTTCAATCCCGGACAGGCAGGAGGCAGTCCAATTCCTCTGAGAGCCCTCAAGAAGAAGAGAAAGACCAAGAGGATGCAAAATAATGGCGAAGTGCGAGAGTGCACAGATGAGTGGTCATTGTTTTCGAAGAAAGAGGAAAAGTTTGAGTGGTGGAAAGGTATCACGGAGTTTGAAGTAGACTCCTATTACCTGCAACAAGGAGGAGGAGTCTCCGCGAAGAAGCGCGGAGAAGGAGAAGTCTTCCCACATGAGATAGCAGCAGAAGATTGGCCAGCATGGGAAGAGCAAGACCGGGCAGAGTTTCAAAAGATTCTGGACAGCGGGGCATTGCGCGTCCTAAGCCCAGAAGAATCTGCCAAGGTACGCAAAGAGCTCAAGCAACAAGGCAAGCTTGACAGAATACTGCCTAGCCGCATGGTTAGGCGCCTCAAACCAGCGGAGGAGCCAGGAGCTCCGAGGGTCAAGAAGTCCAGGTTTTGCATCAGAGGAGACAAAGATCCAGATGCAGTCTTTTTGTCAAGGTTTGCACCTACGGTCACCACATCCAATTTGCAAGTCCTTATTCAAGTGGCAGTGAACAAGGCTTTTGCAGGGGTGGTCGGAGACTTGAAGTCGGCCTTCACCCAAAGTCTTCCCCTGCTGAGAGCGGAAGGAAAAGTATACTGCGTTTCAGTAGGAGGTAGCATGCCAGGTCTTGAAGAAGGACAGCTTGCAGAGATAGTGTTGAGATGTTATGGATTGTGTGACGCGCCCAAGCATTGGCGCGAAACGTTGGTGACATTCTTGAAAGAGGAGCTCCAATACAAGCAGAGCGCGCTGGATCCATGCACCTTCCTTTTGCATGGCCCGGAAGGACTTCATGGCATGGTAGCTGTGGAAATTGATGATTTACTGATGTTTGGTGATGAAGTTCATGACGAGAAGATGAAAGCTCTGCAGCAGAGATTCACCTTTGGAAAACTGCAGCCAATCAACGAGAGCGGAGTCAACTTCAATGGCAGGAGGCTGAAGCGATTTGGCAACACGATTGAGATTGACATGAAGGCTTTTGTTGAGGAGCGACTTGAAGGTGTGCCTCTTAGCAAAGAAAGAGCGAGCCAGAAAGCAGATCGCCTCACAGAAGAGGAGACAAGCAGTGTCAGGAGAACATGTGGCTCCTTAAACTGGGCAGGGCGAGAGGGCCGGCCCGATGCAGCGGCAGCGGCAAGCATGTACTCTTCAATGATGACTGAGATGAAAGTGGCTGATGTGATAGAGTTAAACAAAGCAGTTGCGAAGCTCAAGCAGGAGGCAGATTTAGCTCTGAGAGTTCAGGCCATACCAGAAGAGAGGATGAAGTGGGGCGTGGTGTCAGACGCCTCCTGGGCCAACGCTCGGGGAGGTAAAACTCAAGGAGGACATATGCTCCTGGCCTTCGACAAGGACTTGTTGGACGGAAAGCAGGCGACATGCAACCTGCTCCATTGGAAGAGCGCCAAACTGAGTCGCACAGTGAACAGCACGTTGGCGGCCGAGACCCAGTCGCTTGCACGAGGCATCGGCGACCTTTTGTGGATGATCGTGATGTACCACGAGATGGTCAATCCAGAATTTCAGGTCAGAGAATGGAGAAAGTATGTGAACAAGACTGGATACACGGCGTTTGCAAAGGACGACGAAGAAGCCTTAGCGGATGCACTGGCAGTGGTCGACGCAAAATCACTGTATGACTTGCTGGCGAACGAAACTGGAGGAGGAGCAGACCGGCGAACTGCTCTTGACGTCCAAGTCTTACGAGAAGAACTGAGTGAAATGAGAGGCAAAATTCGATGGGTAGAGCATTGGAACATGCCAGCCGATTGCTTGACGAAACGGTCAGGTAGGGTAGAACCACTTTTGGCACTGCTGCGATCAGGTAGGTTTGGGATCACAGAAGAATCTGCGGTTCTTAGTAGTCGTTTGAAAGACCGTGAGACCAAGGGTTACAACCGTAGATAGATGTAAGAGAGGCTTCGGTCAACTTTAAGTTTTGGGGTGCTGTGAAATCATTGCAACCTTTGACCGAAGCATGCAGTTTCATATGAAAGCAGGTGCCCGTACAGAGCCTTTTAGGCTTCAAACGACAGCCCTAGGTGGGCCTCGCATCCTGGCGAAATAGGCGTTTGATGCCTCTGCTACCACTGAGAGAATTCTCATATACATATTTATACCTATTCCTATGTACTGATCTGACTAGATGGCAATTGATGCCCCCATTTTACTTTGGCTCCTTCGTTGCGAAGGTCTACAACTCCAAGAAGGATTTGAAGGCTGGACAGGAGACCACGGCCACAGGGATTCTGAACTTTGGGGTTGGCCGCTGACATTTCATGTCAGTTCTGTCCAATGAGTCACTGTGCAGGACTTCAAGTTGGTGACTGACTACGAGCAGAAGGTGTAGAACTTGGAGGGACTGTTGAATCCAAAGATGCAACAACTGCACATTTTGGGATATGGTAGTAATTATGGTAGCAAAAAAGTAAAAAGCCAACTTGACCCAGGGCGACGAGACTATGGTGGCCATCACCTATGCGCAGCTGCCCAAGAGCGTCAAGAAGGGCCAGCGCATCCTGGTGCAGGCCAGGGGTCGGGGATGGTCGGGATGGAGGGGGTGGAATCCGCTGGAGCCGACAGCAGTGCTATTTGGCTGTCACCGTTGCCCAAATGAACCCTCTGAGTCCACTGCTTGCGGATGAAGGGTTCAAGGGTTCAGCAATGCGCTGTCAGGACGGTACTGTCATCCTCATTGTGGAGGAGTGCGGTGACGACTACGTGATGTGCAAGGCATGGAATAATCATGGCTTTGAAATCTGAGCTATTTCAATTTCAACCATCCAATCCTTTCCTTCTTTGATGCTTTGGCCAAATGCCCTAGTGAACCAACCAGTGATACTGCTGCTTTGCCAATCTCCTGCAGGTGGTGAACAACTGCAAGCTAGGTGAGAAGAAGAACGTCAACGTGCCAGGCTGCAAGACACAGGAGGAAAATAGGAAAGAGAAGAAAAAACGGAGACAACGAAGGGGACAAGACTCTGACAAGACGAATATGACCGATTTATACCGCGATTCCAATTGCTCTTAATGTTAGTGCTGCATGATTTCCAGGCGTGAAGGTCGAAATCCCAGTCGTGGGCGAGCGCGAGATCAAGGACTGCTGCTGGCGGGTGGTTCGGTCCTTCACTTTTGATAGAGACGAATCTTAAGTGGACATACGATGTTGGGCGTACGGCCAGGACATTGCGGAGTGGGCTGTGCCAAACGATGCGGACTACATTGCTCTGAGCTTTGTCCAGACACTTGACTACAATGCTGCTGACAGACAGACACAAGGATAGTGAGGGCCACAATTCTTATACATAATTACAATATATTACAATCATGATATATAATACATATTAAGACATAGTAGCATGGTGGTGGCAGAATCATTCCGCACCAGTCTTTGATGGTGCTACCATGAGGAGCGCGGATGATGTCAAGGACTGCAGGAAACACTTTGGTGGAAAGGACATCAAGGCGCTCATACCTGATAGATAAAGCCAGATGCACAGTCTGAGCCCACAGTCTTATTCCGTGCCCGATGTCATGTTGACAGCAGGTAGTGCAACAATGTTTAGTGCGAAAAAAACATGATTTCCCTCTTGTTGACAAATTTATGGAACTTCCTTACAGATGCCATGTGGCTTGTCGAAGCACAATGGCTTGCCGTGGCAGGTCATTTCCAAGATTGAGAACGTTGAGGGCCTCAAGTGCTCCCTGCTGATGTCATTGCCAGACTTGCAAACGATGCCTGCAGACATGGACACGGAAAGAGGATGCGGATTACCCTTGGACCCTCTGGACAACACCACTGAAAGCTGTTTTTCTGTTTGTGTGAATTGGAGGTTTTCCGAAAATCTGTGATCAATGACATAGGGTTTAGTACTTTTGCTGCTTTGCTTTGCATGTCGGACTCTTCCAACCTTCCATGCCAGGAATTTTGAAGAGTTCCGACCTCAGTCCCGGCAGACAGTTTCCACGCCCTGCGTGGGGCTGGGCTTGCTGAAGTGGATGAATATCCATAGGATCAATGGGATGATTGTCTCCAAACAAAGATGAGAGGGATAAACATTTCCAAATAATTCCCAGCACTTCTTTTTCATGAAATTGTTGCGTGTCAATCGCAGTATGATCCTGAGGATCCTGGCCGAGTCCGATGGAATCATGGTGGCCCGTGGCGACTTGGGCATGGAGATTCCCATGGAGAAGGTTTGGATGGCACAGAAGATGATGCTCAAGAAGACTAAGGTCTGTGATCTCAGTCTTGGGCCTGGGATTGCAAATGGATTTCTGATGGGTTTCTGATGTTTGTTTAACGACTACTGGGATGGTAGAGGATGTCTTTTATTCATGCTAGCAGTCTCTGTGTATTTGGCATTTGGTGAAATACTCTGACATGAGATGGCATGATCAAGGCATGATATAATAGGTGACATAACTTGACACATAACAAGAATGCAACATGATATTATATATATATATAATATGGAAGTGTGTGCTATTGTAGAATTATATATTGAAAAGACAATTTTAACAACACAGAATAGTAACCCCCAAATAGAGAGTTCAACAGTTGGAAACCTGGAAATGTGGGACACATCTTTGTACCACCTGGAAAGACTTTTCTATGCCTTTTGCGAGTTACAAAAACACATAGCCATGTCGTCACACCGCACTGCAGGCCGCAGGGAAGTACGCCGTGTGCGCCACAGAGATGCTGGCCTCCATGGAGGACAAGCCATTCCCCACCCGTCACTGGGTAAAATGACATGGCCATTTAGGCCATTTCAATGAAATCACTGGAAAATTTTCATGAAAACTCAATGATCTCAATGGGGAATTTTCCATTGCCATGGACCAGAGATTTTGAAATGCTTCGTCAAAAAAACATTTTTGAAATGCCAAAGTCCTCAGATTTTCTCAGTGACTTCTGTGTCGCCGAGGTGCCGAGGCGTGTGACGTGGCCAACGCCATCCTGGATGGCGCCGATGCGGTGATGCTGAGCAGCGAGAGTGCCATGGGCAAGTTCCGTGGCCACGTCATGGGGAGGAGAGCGTCTCAAGATGGGTTCATGGCGGGAGGAGATCTAGGGGATATCTCGAAAAATAGAGGTGTAACATCTCATTGTATATATATATATACATAAATTATATATGTATTATATATATATATATATTGATGTATAGATATGTATGATTCTATATACACATGGGTTTGCGAGGAACAAGTTGATAGTGTGGATTGGAGGACGTGTTGATCCCATAAATCGACATCATGAGTGGCACAAAAAAGACAATTTTCGATGATTATCACATTTAATGGTCGGTTGATTGGGGTTGATTGGACATGGGTCAAGTCATTTGGGAGATTCCTACAGAAAGCATGGGATACTCCAGAGAAAGCTGTAGGTCCAAGGACACAACAGTTTGACCCCAGACCTGATGCAGCGGTGTTTCCAAGCAGACTGATATGCTTTAAGAGCCGTGACCTTGATTGATGTCTGGCACTCTCAGCCATTGGATTCGGTGGACTCAAGTGCCGCAAGGGTGCTCTTGGCCCATGTCAAGCTGTGATTGATCCTGGCCAATCGAGGTTCCCCGTTGAGACCGTGAACACCATGAGAAGAATTGTTGAGGAGGCTGAGCATGCCCTTGTTTCAGAGAAAGTTCCTGCTTAGGTGGGAGCACACACAGCTCTTCTGGCATTAAGTCCAGTAGTTCTCACAGTGAAGTTTCTGAGTGCCCACCAAATTACAGTGTTGCTTAGCTTCGGTTCAGTTTCAGTCATTATATGTCACAGAGTTGGCCTAAGCCCAGGAGTGTGCATGGTTGGTGACTTTCAATGGCATTTCCAGGCAACATTTTGGGGTGTGTTTTCATTTCGGCCATGGCAGAATTGCCAATTTTCGGCCCACATCTCCTGAAGCGGAATGCATCAGAGGAAAAAGGTGCTTTGGCAGCCAACATTCACAAGGGTCACTGCAAGCGCTTCCTTCACCAGAACAACACATGGATACGCTAGCAAAGCACAAGAGGTTGCTGGAATGTAGAAGTACAAGTACGTCAAAGAACGTACTATTTTAGGGAAACCTTGGGTGGCCATCCTATTTTGCACGACGTTTCCACATTCTTGAGGGCATGTCAAAAAAAAGTTGGTAGCTCAATTCGGAAAGACCAGCTGAGATGATGTTCGCTATTGATTGGTTCTGGCTGCTTCATCTGTGATGTTTGCAACTGCTGCAAACAGTTGGAACAAACCGGCTGCCGATGTCTACCAGTCACACAAACACAGATATTGACAGACCAATTCTTGTTTCCTTCTGCCCTTCTCATTGACACTCATTTTTCTTCGGTTTGCTATGTTGGTTGTTCCTCAGTTTGTTGGAGGTTGAGTCTGCAGGGCGGTCAGTCGATCAGCAGTCAGTTGGTTGGTTGCTGGGTTTGTGGGTCGGACAGTTGGATAATGGCTTCACTAGGTTGTTTGTCTCTTCATTCAAGCAGTCCCTTTTAGTTGATGGTTGTTTTGAAGGTCAACTGGCCAGTGCAAGCCAAGCAGCCCTTTGCAAACATCCAATACCTTTTGCAGCAAACGACACATGCTGCAGCAGAAGGGTGTGCTTACCATCTTGCAATGATGTTGAAGAGCAAACTCAGAGCCGACAGGCTGGAAGATCAAAGACAAGCAAAGAGTAGGAACCAGCCGAACCAGCTACGCATGATCAACCATAGGACACTTGGCCTTGGAGCTTGTCGTTACTCCAGTTCCTGATCCTACTCACGGTTTACTGCAGGTCTTTTCTGAAACCAAGGAGTCAGGGGGGTTCATAGTTCGTGAACGAAGCATCCTGCTACGCGCTTTGCAAACTCCGGCATAAAATTGTGCTTCTTTGGCCTTTACCAGTGCTTCCTGGGTGGATGAGCACGCGCTGGAGTATTTGCGAAGAGCACGTGGTAAGTAGTGGATTGACGGATTCTGACTAGGCATCTAGTGACAGGGGACAAACCAACAAAGACATCGCCGCAATATCAAGATCTGGACGCCGACGCTGGCTTTGGTAACACCGTTTCTACAGAAAATCCAAACCATCACTGCATAATGGATGCGAATATCCACGTTTGCCTCTAGCTGGATGTGTTTATTTATGCGCTGACGCTGTGCCATATGCATTGCGGACTCGACCGTGAAGTCTGAGCCCCTTCAACGAAGTTGACGCAAAATTCTACGTGGGCAGTGGGGGGGATATCTTCTTAACTGTGAAATGTCCAAGGAACACCAGCATAGGCAAACTCGCCCAAAGATTGGATAATAATGGATAATATTTTGCACACTTTACGCTTTGTCATTTTTCAAGTATCATGTGCTAACTTCGCAGACCACGACCAAGTTCCACCAACAGTGTTGTAGCGGCGCCATGTTCTATTCTAGTAGGAGCGACGCACCTTGGCAGCTTGTTGTTGTACAACTGCAAACCAGGGAACGAACATACTGCAAACCAGGGAACGGAAATTAACACACACCCTGACAAACTCAAACATTCATGCATTTTCAACTAAAGAATCTCTCCCCACACAACCTCGTTTTTCCATCACGTCCTAAAATGATGAATCCAATGCACAAGTTGAAAGATGTTTTTTTGATTATACCGAATTCGTCAGAGATAAAACGCATCCCTGCATTTTTTTGTCAGGAATCCGGGAAAGATTGGTCCCATCAAAATCTACTTGCGCAAGTGATATCCAGCAACCCTCGGGGAAAACCATTCCGTTCCTCCCCGTGCAACACGAAAAAAACAAAGTTCCTGGCCAGGTATCCGAAAACCTGCTGGCAAACTGCATGTTTCTGGCACTTTCCCGGAAACCACACCTGTTCAATACGCAACCGGAGATTATCGTTTTCGCACCTGTATTGTTGATGCTTCCCCGTGGTGCCTGTTGCTCATGGAACGAGGATAATGATAATTGTTAGCTACCAAGGCTACCATGGCCATCCTTTCCTTGAACTTGGTTTCTTGTTGCCCAACCTTCCGCTCTTTCATGACGCCGTGCGACCATTCGTGTTTGGTCCACAACCTCTACCAAGTGTATTCCTGGGGGAGCTGTGCAGAAAATGAATCAAACACTGAACGGTTTTTGAGTGTTAACATCTTTTTGATCGAAGGACATTTAGAAGTCAAACTTCCGACAATATGGACAGATGGAAAAACAGAGGTGGGAAGAGTCAAAGAAAATAAGGGAAACATACAAATCAGAGAAGAGAAAAAAACAGAAGAAACAAGATCCAGGCGCGCAAAAAAATAGAAGGTCGCGAAACACAGTAATTTTCCAATGTTTCGTGGTTCCTGGAAACTCGAAAAGTAGGCTCGGTAAAGCGGCGGGTGCTGAGCCATCTGACAGATGGCAGGTCAAAAATCGCACATTGCCGTAGTGCGAAGCACAGTTCGAAGTCAAACCGTTAAAAACGCTTCGGGTTCGGAACACTTTTGGGAGTCCAAATGTGGAAAATATGCATGCTGTTGTCGCATTTCGAGACCACAATGTGTAAAACACTCAAAGGGTATGGCAGGCGTGGGACCTTTGAAGAGGAGTGGCAAAGAAGCATTGCACGTGGCAGGCGCGGGAGAAGAGACATCTTTATCAAAAATGTTGGGAGGTCAGGGCGCTGATTTCCTAACAAGGGCTGCGTTTTGGAGTCCATGCATCCTACATCCATGCACCCACGCACCCACGCATCCATGCACACATCCGGGCGCCCATGCGCCCATGTACACATACAAACATACAGGCACACAAATACAGACGGATACAAACATACACACATACATTTATACCAACACACACGCGCATACACATACAGACATAGAAACATAGAAACATACAGACACACAGGCATACAAACCTACAGACACACAAACTTACAAAGATACAAAAGTACAAATTTACAAACCCACAGACACACAAACGCACAAACATACAAACATACAGGCATACGAACATACAGACATATATGCATACAGGCAGACCTACTTACTTTCTTACTTACCTACCTACCGACTTACTTACTTACTTACTTACTTACCTAAATTCTTTCTTACTTACTTACTTACTTACTTACTTGCTCACTTAATTTCATAGTTACATAGTTGCATATTTGCGTACTTGCGCACACGTACATACTTCTATGCACATTTATATTCATGCTTACATTTGTTCATTTATTATTGCGCCAATACACACATGCACCCGTGCACACACACACACATGCATGCACTTATCCATGTTTTTGTTGCAAATGCATCTCTATGTCCGAAGACGGTCCATTTGAGGCGTGGGCAAACCCAAAAGAACGAACAATTAAAATACAACGGTTTTGTACGTCTCACGCACCATAACGGGAAAATTCATCAGATTTTGCCCCCGTGAAGTGTCTGCCGCTACCAACTACCAGCCGAAGTTGCTGTACCAGCAAAATTCCCCAAAACCTGAAATCCGTTTCCTTTGGAAAAATGCAGTGCAAAATCAATCGCTGCAGACCCCTGTGCGCAACGATCTACTTTCGCTCACCACACATATAACACTTCGTGCCAGCTTTGGCCCTATGAGATTCCAGCGAAGGAGGAACAATGGCAACAATTCCAGAAACGCGCAAGGGGCGGGCGCACCGCTCCGCACCAGCTGCGACAGCCCTATGTTTAATGATCATTGGGATTTGGTTCCGCCCTATTTATGGGCGCACAAACTCGCAGCAAATTCTTGCCTGGGAGATGGTGCTTCGTGCGTCCTGGGCCAGGATTTAGTGCTATATGGTTTTCAGCAACGGTTGCAATCAGGCAAGCCTAGCGGCGGCAACTGTTTCCTTGATACGATACAAATACTTATGTATCGCCACCAGGTATTTCAGGGCTGTGTCTCTAAGCAAACAGCGGGTAATGCATCGGAGAGGCCTGAAACCAAATTCCAGCAGCCCAGGCTTTGAATCATTTTAAACTCGTGTTTCATGTGTTGCTGTTGGATTTTTTTGGTAACATCTCTTACCAGGTGGTGTGCATCCATTCCTGGTGTAATTTTGGAATCCGGGTGTTTCTATTTTCTTTTGGATAGGTTTTATGCTGTGAATAGTTGAAAACATGAGTCACCTCAAACATTTCTTTATTATGCCCGTCTTAATTTTGAGGCGTCGGTGCTGTAGAAGTATTACGGGTGTATTGTGGAATATTTTTGGTTTTAATTCTTGCGTGTGGACGGTACATACATAGGATGGCGCATCAAACAGCAGTAAACAGCAAGGACTTGAAGGCAAAATCGATACATCACCTGGGAAAATTGAATTTGGCAAAAATATATTGGGCCAATGAATACCAACAAAAATGGAATTCGATTGTGGCCGGTTACGCTGCGCTCAAACAATAGGGAAAGGCCCTCCCTCCGGAACGCGACCAAACGCATCGCTTCGGAACGCGGTCAAACACATGGCTTTGTAACGCGCCTGATCAACATGATTTTCATCACTAGCCAAGATATATACATACGTAAATGACATCATCATCATCATCATCATCATCATCATCATCATCATCATCATCATCATCATCATCATCATCATCATCATCATCATCATCATGTGTTTTCTTCATTGTCGTCGTCGTCGTCATCAACATCAACATCAACATCATCATCATCA